AGTGGGCCTCGTTGGTTTTGGACATGACCCCATATCCTGTGTGTGCTGCCCTGTGGGTCCTCATGCTTGTCCCCTACCCCACCCAGCTAGGTGCACGGCTATAATGTGTGTGATAACATCCAGGACCTCAGAAATGTAAGGTGTGGGAAAAATAAGATTTTCAAAGTTGGGGGGAAGTGGGGACCCTCCCTGACCTGCAGTAGTTCTTCCAGTGAGCGGGAGTTCCTTCCTTCTGTAACGTGAGGGCAGGTGGACGGAGTAGAGCGGCTGTCCGTCCAGGTCCTGTGACAGCCCCGGCCATGCCCTGGGCAAGACACAGAGGACCCGACTGACCCACACCGCCACACAGGACCAGCTCCAAGGGCCATGTTTGCGAGGCTACCCTGATGAGGACGGAGCCACTGGGCACCTCCCACCCGGCGGGCCTAGGCTAGGTTCTCTCCATGCTGGACACTGGGGTTTCAGCCCCTTTGTGGGGGGGGCAGCCCACAGACCTCAGAGTCCCACTGGACACTGGGGGGAAGCCCACAGGCCTCAGAGTCCCACGCACTGTCCGTGCTGACGGTCCTGAGCCATGGGCCCCGCCCTCGTGTATTCACTCCTGAAAATGAGGCAGTCTGCAGAGGAGCGGAGACCTGCCTGAGGCCACAGCCACGGCGGCAGTGTGGGGACAGACCCTCGCCAGTGTGGGGACAGACCCTCGCCTGCGGCCCCGCAGTTCTGAGCCGTCCTGGCCTCTCTGGCCCCTTCCTCAGCCTGTGGGTGGGGAGGGCTTGCAGGGGGCAGCTGGGTAGTCGCTCCAGGCCCCCTCTGCCTCCCACTCCTGCCTCATCCCGCTCCGGGCTGCGAGCTCTAGGCTTGGGGTTTGCAGAGCTGAGCTTGGCTCCTTCTCGGGGTCTTGGCGGAGAAAGTGCAGAGCAGCACTTCCCTCCACAAAGCCGCACTGTTCTCAGCAAATCCTCCAAGGATCGGGTGCATTTTTTTCAAATGATTCAGCAGCACGTGAATGGGAAGGGCCGAGCCCAAGGCTTTAGAACGTGACCAAGGCCTCTGGCATGGGCTCCCACTGGGCCCACACGGAGAGGGGAGGAGGCTGGGGTCGGGGTCCTACCAGGGTCCTGGGGGTCAGCTGGGCGGCGGTGCTGCTGCAGCTTTTCCCCTGCACACCCCGGGGCTTGCGCTTTTAGAGGAGCTAGTTCCCTCCTGCTCTGTGGGGAAGGGGGGGTGGGGGGCAAAGCAAAAGGACAGGAAATGGAGATGGGAGAGCTGGTCTCCATGGAGATGGGCATCCAGTGGACAACAGCTCACGTGTATGTGCTAGAATGTTGAACAGCACTGGGCAGGCCTGGCAGAGCCCCAGGCACCAGGCTCGTGGGCAGTGTGGCCCGGGCTGCAGCTGCTGGTTCTCCGTCCTGCACCCCATCAGCCTCCCTGTCCGACCCTCAACCCCAGCAAAACCCATCTGCTCTGAGCGGTCGTCATTCCAGGTATCTCGAACCCTGGCCTGAGTCACACCAACCAAGTCTTGCCCTCGCCCTGGACAGGCACAGCCCTGCCCCAGAGCTGGGGACGTCTGTTGGCTCCTGGGGATGGGAGATTTGGAGGGACCTGGGGGAGGCGGGTGTCTGGTCTCTCACAGCTGCTGCTGGGATGCGAGACGCCCTTGGTTCCTCCACAGCAACACAAGGCTGTTTTTAATTACTAAATGACGGCCCCCTTTTTTTCTCATTTCCCTAAAAGGAGTAGACTGGGAGGTCTGCTGCACCACTGACCGAAAGGGGCCAGGCACTGAGGCCAGAGAAGGCAGAGCTGAGTGCTTGGGGGAAAACACCCATGGTGGTGTCCATCCGGGCACCTGGGAAGGTGGGGGCTGGGCAGAGCGTGAGACTGAAGGGGCACATGGGGCTGGACACTCCCATGGACTTCCAGGCACTAAGCCAGTGCTGACACCATGCATTCCTTGTGACATCTCCCAGGCTGCTTGACCGCACCCCATGTGCAGCTCAGGGGCGTGGCCTCGAAACCTGGGGCGTCAAAGCAGGTCTGCAGTCCATGTGCGCACGATCCCCTTGCTAGGTCACTGTCCACCCC